TTACTATCATTATTAAGGGAAACATTACATGCAAGACAGTCCTGATTTTAAGAAAGTACTACTTTCTTAAGTGTAATTAATGCTTGACTAAAATGATATGCATACAACTTTTCTCATGTCAGAATTTTAGGTGTAACACAGAAAATTTGAAGTTATGTCCAACAAGACAAATTTAATATTTAATTTTATTATAAAATTTTAACTTTAAGATTATATCAAATAAATGAAACAACCAACATTCAGAGGAACTACTATTTAGAGGAAGCACATTTTGTAAGTATTTTTCTCTCTTTTGAAGATTTAAATAGCCCTATATATTTTCCATATAAGACTGATGCGTTCAAAATATTGGCAAAGAAAATACGCGAGACTAATAAAATGAACATCAGACATTGATGATATCATGCTAATAAAAGGAAGCAGAATTGAGTGCTATGCACTGATACCATATTTCCCAGAAGGCATGTAGTCATGATCTACTGCAAATATGTAGTAATAAAAGTTTATAACACTTAAAATTTGAATGTTTTAAAAACATCTGTCAGTGAGAATGTGAAGGGATTCTTATGGTCATTTATTTCACTACACTAGACTTGGTAGCGTTTGCATGTCTCCCATAACATCATGGTGAGTACCCAAAATATACACAACACCATTTGTTATAAAAACAGCTTTTCTGGACTTTTCATGCAGACATCAACACTGGCCTCAAATCATGACTGTCAGAACAGTCACATATTTCTGCTTCAAAGTTTTCAATGTGATTCTTTGTGATTCTCCTGCCATCCTCGTTGTTTGACACTTTCCACAATTGCCTATTTCCAAATTTTGCACTGAAGTATGTTTAATCATCAGACACATTTTCTTCTGCAAACACTGGGAAGGCAAATTGATTGTGATGCTGACATTGGTTGTTACTGATTAGACCTCCCACACTAAGCAGATTTCTGCTCATCCTGACATTCATGCTTAAGTTCTTTCTTGCCTCTGAACTTCACATGAGAATTCATATATAAAAACATTGTAGTGAAAGGGGAAAAATGTCACAGTCTAATGTTTGCTTTCGTATGATCTTCATTGTTTTACACAGGACTGGCCTCATGAATTCCATCCAAACAGGTAGATGAATACATGAAGCCTCTAATTTAAGTGCACCTCATGAGTGGAGCAAGTGTGTTCTCACCACAGAAAAGTATTTACGTGCACATCCCTGAAAAGCATAGCATACTGAGCAGATGCAAAGATGTACAAACTCACACAGAACCATAGGCACTTGGGGTGAGGTTTATGTGTTTTGGTAACTTCTTTGTTCTTGAGAATGTGCAGAAATTAGCTTCTTAATAAGCTAGGATAAAATCCAAGGTATGTACATCTATTTCATAATTTAAGGTATGACAGCCAAATCAACACTACTGTTTCCTTGATATAAAAGTCTGCATAATTTGTGGATTTATACTATTGGAAATATGGTTGTAGATTTCATAAATTTGAATACTTTATGATACTGGGAATTTAAATCTAATACTTTACATTGGTAAATATGTGTGGTATTTTAAAAAAGTATATATTTCTATTTTTGATTACTGACCTTTGCCTAACAGAATCACTAAGCAGTACAGGCTGTGGTGGAACTAGTACCTTTAAGACTCTTAGAAATGTAGGAGTGAGAAACCTGGAAGGAAAAAAAATGGTCTTAGAAGATAAAATTATGTCTTTGGGTAATTTTATGTTTGCAGTTATGGTTTTCTGAAAAATGAAAATTAAAAATCTTGCTTTCCTTTTGTCCTGAACTTTATTTCTTCTGTCTTAATTTATTACTACCCTAGAGCTGAACCTTTGTTCCTAGGGATCACTGAGTGTGAAAGTTAAGGTGCTGGTTTGGTCAGTGGAATTTAGCCACTGGTTGAAGGCAAAGGTGACCCTCACTCAATTTGTACAGGGGGGAAATGAGATGATCATTCTCAGACCTTCATCTTCCATTTTTCTACATGATTTGGATGGTAGGCTTGATAAATTTAATTCTCAGTTGGGTATATGATTTATACCGCTATGTGCTGTTGCACTACAGTAACTCAAAGATATGTGTAAAATACCTTCATAAATACTTGCAAATGTCTCCTTCATTTCATTCTTGCCATTCCCCAAGCATCAATGTTCTAACTTATTGGGAGATAAGTTTATGGTTAAAACTGGAGGTATTTTTATGTCTTGGAAGATGATCCTCTTATTTTTGAAGACAAAGGGGCACTTCTGTTACCAAACGCTTCGACGACATGCAGGATTCGTGTCTGAACTCACCTGTGACTGGATGTGTACAGTTTCAAGTGTTGGAAATGTGTGAATTCTTTCAGGTGTTACTCATGTTGGTAAGCCAGTGAGCATATAGCTTTGAAATATGATGGTCTTTCCTTTATTTTTAGAGGGGCCAAAAGTTTTAATGTACCTAGAATCATAGGGAAGATTTATTATCAGTTTTCTAAAACAAAAGAGAAAGAACATGAATGAAGGGATGTTCATCTAATACACAGTTGTGTAGATAATAATAATCACTATTTCAAAAATTTCCCTACAAATGCATTGACTATCACATCTCATCTGTAAGTAGTAAATGATAATTTGTCTCATTTCAAAATACGTGGCCATATGCTATTAGGAAAAGCAAAATATGGGCATTTCTTGTCAGACTGCAGTTTACATGTCTGTACATCCTACAAATAATACCCTATAACTACTAAAAATTTTTAATTATTTTAGTATATGTTTCTTTAGGTATATCTTGTTGCCCAGAATTGTGTGATACATGTACCACCCAGTTCATAAGGGTGCATGGGAATATAACTGTCTATTCAAGAGAAAAAATTAGAAATATTATTTTTAAATAAAAATGCAATTTGACATATTTACCTTGATCGTGAGGAATGGAAGAAAATACTAGTGAAAACAAGGATTTTCCAAGTTACTCACTGTTACAGTAATCAGATGACCTTGGCTATATCGCTAACTACACAGCCTGCCACAGACAAGGTGCTCAACTGGGAGTGACAGTAAACTACAATGTGTATCACAGTGTGTGAATATGACTACCTAAAGAGTAGAAAAGATTGGAGAGAAGACTGCTTCAGTCTAAGAAGCCCAGAGTGGCTGTCTCTCTGAGTAAGAACCTCAGGGAAACAGCAGCAACCTGAGATCTCTGTCATTTATTTGAAAGTCAAGGACAAGAGAACAAAGACTAAGGTTAAATGCATTGGCAACATATTGTATAGGAGCTTCAACTATGGGACAGGGAAGAGCCAAGATGATGGTTTGCATGACATATACCCGTCTAATAATCTAGATGAGCTTTTTGGAGGCCCTGGAAACACCTTGGCCAAAGCAATCATCTCTGAGAGTCACTTGCTCTCAATTCTGCAGACTGCTTTCCTCCAGATTCCGCTCTAAGCCCTAGCCACGCATTCCAGGAGCATGGACTGTTGTTCCAGTGTGGCCTTCTCATCGTACTGGGATTTAATCCCTTCTTTGGCCAATGTCTCCCCACAAATACCTTTTTCTAAATTGAGTATAAATCATTTTAAAAATATACACCAGGAAAGTCACAGATAAAATTTCAACAAATTTAATAAAAGTTATAAAATAAAACTGATGACACTGAGATAAAATTTTAAGAACTTAGTGCACCACCCACTCCGAAATACATATGCTTTGGGGATTTGTTCAGAGGAGTGGACAGACGGGACCATAAAAACTCAAAAGTTTGGAACCACTTTTGATCTGAGCATATAATCACTCTGAAGAACAAGCAATATTGAAAACCATACACAAAGCAGTGTGCAAATGAGACAACACTGCAATTAATTATTAATATGTTTAAATTCCCTGAAGAGAGGCTTGGAGAACCAACAGAAATAGGCACTTGCTTATACCCTAAAACAAATATAGGTCTTAATAGTAGATACCGATGTTTCTGTCAGTTGAACAGTGGTAAAATAATGACCAATCCTATTAAAGGTTAAACTTCCCGTGCAGTAGAGGACATTTCTGAAGCAAGATTTGTTTTCAAATAATTTCAATTATTAATGTATTTCAATATTTCTGTCAGTGATTGTAACATTGTGAAAATGACCTCCTTCACTCTTAATGACACTAAATGAAAATAAAATTTGGGAGTGAGATTTAATAATAGTAAAGTAACTATTTACATGCTAAAAGCAGTGGTATTGAATTTTATTAAGCAATATATTCTTTCCCTTAAAGAGAAAAATATTTTGATATGGTAGTTTAAATCAAGATGCATTACCTTGCTGTACATATATTATTAAATATTTAGCTTTTAATGAGTATAAATCTGGTCCTGAGAAATAAAGATAATATTTTATTTGATGATATTTATTGAATGCTAGTGCTACCACACAGCTTGCATGAATTTTATGTGTGTATTACTGAAGGTCTTCGTCTTACTGTTTCAACCCTGGATGGTGGAAATATAGAAAGATTACTGCCCTCCTCTGCAAGTTACATTTCTTTTTTAATACCAGGGAGAGGAATTATTCCCTTTTCTGTTGCTATGTTATCATGCAACAACACTGCAGATTTTAGACTTGTTAAGCAATTTCCCTGTGTGCACAGTTCACTGTTCTCTATGAATTCCTACTTATTTCAACAACAGAATCAGATACCTGTAAAAAGTGGAGTAGGGTGGCTTTTTCTTACAGCTCCTCCAAGCTTTGTTATTCGCTGATTTCTTGATAGCCACTTTTTCTGGTGCGAGATGGACTCTCAGTGTTATTTTAATTTGCATGTCTTGCATGAATAAGGATGTTGAACAGTGTTTCATGTATTTATTTGCCACTTCTATTTCTTCATCTGAGAAGTGTGTATTCATCTCAGATGCCCATTTCTGGCAAGGAACTTTGTAGGTTGTGGTTTTAATTATCTCAATACTCCTGTGTAATCAATCATTCTAACAGTTTTTGGAAAAGTAAAACTTGACAACACATAGAAAATATGGTGTACATTTTTAAAGTTGTAAACATTTATTATCATTTTCATGCAAGATTACTTAGAATTCCTAGGTCCACAATGTTAACTTGTGAATTTTCAGGGTTCTGTAGAACACACCTTTCTTTCTACACAAAGATATCACAAAGTTACATAATTACAGCCAGAAATTGAACATAAGGGTGTGCATATTTTAGATACTCTACCACTGAGCTACATCTTCTACCCTTTTTCTTTGTTTAATTTCAATTTTAATTTTCTTAGTACATGTTTGCAGTACATGCATTTCATTTCACCTTGGGGAGTAGGTCCACATACATGCCACAGCTTGTTTTTTTTTCCACTAAATTCCTTCTACCTTCCCACTCATGTCCCTTTCTCTGTCTCTAAATTTCCTTACTCCATTTTGTTTTTCTTTTTCTTCTTAATCTTCACTTATGTTGAAGACAAAAATTTAACCTTCCTTTTGGGTATTTGGTGCCCATACATGGAATATCTTAAATCTTCTTCTTGCCCTTACCTTTCTCTAAGACAGTCTCTCATAGTTGCCCAGGTTGATGTAGAACTTCCTCTAATCCTGCCCACCATCCTAGTGCATGAGGACATCAACACTGGCCCAAGGGTCTTTTTTAAGTTTTAAAAATACTTGAGTCACATTTGCTTGAGTATAATTTGACCTGAGTTGAACCTGAAGTTTCTTGCTTGCACTTCAGAGTCTGAATAGATCTTGCCAATTTTAACTGATTTCCTTCTGGTTTCATTTACAGACTCAAGATAATGCATTTGTTGTCATTTTATTCAAAGACACACTATTTCTAAAAAAGCAAATAAAACTTACTCTTTCTGTTCTTTTCTACCAGAGGTTTCAATAATTGTGAATTTTTAAGAGGTATGATAAAAGGTATAAGCAAACACCAAATTGGAATTATTTCAGGAATTATGAAATTAGATTAAACATCCTTTAATGTTGCTCTGAAACAAAATATATAGCAAATCAGAAAAGTAAAGGTCTTATAAAATGTTGAGGAGTATCTCCCCACACCTTGATCCTAAATGTTAAATTAAAGTACAATAGATTGGTCTAGCATGCCTACCACCTATAGGTCTCAATCAGCTCTACTCCTTCTTCTTCTTTCCTGTCTTAACAATCTTCTGATAACAAAAGAAGCAACATTTTGTGACAAGGAGAGTAACGGTCACCACACAAGCAAGTAGGAAGCCAATGACATCCAAAGAGTGGTACTGGTACCAGGTGAGGTTCTGGGCGAGTGGCCGCAGGTGATTGGCCCTTTTGTGGCGCATGACAAACTCGATCCAGAAGGCTGCTCGGTCCAGGGGCTTCATTGGCTGGTCGTGGTGAATGGTCGATAACCACATGACATTCTCTTTAAAGCTGAGAAAATTCAGGAGACATCATCTTAAACATTGAATGAAAAAATAAATGCATATTGCTTGTAGATAAATATATGTAGACCTGATAAAATTGAAAGAAAATCTTGCCCTTAGTTAGGGTTAGGGTTAGGGTTAGGGTTAGGGTTAGGGTTAGGGTTAGGGTTAGGGTTAGGGTTAGGGTTAGGGTTAAGGATAGTTAGGGCTACATCCCGAGCCCTCATTTTTTAATACAAATGGGAGGGCTTTGTTTCAGAATATTTTCAATACTTTATATCTTTTCAATATAATAGGATAAATTAGTGAGGACATTATAGAACAAATTCAAAAAATTAGGATAGTTACATGAAAATGTAGAAAAATCACTATGGAATGATTAAGTGTAGTAAAATTTTAATATGATTCATATGTTTGCCTTTAAGGAACAATATTCATTTTGAATAAGTTGAAATAAGTGTGGTGATAATTTATGTGTTAACTTGCTATCATACAGACAGTGTTTGTTATGGGCTATGGATTTTGCTCAGCAGCACAGTGAATGCCTGGTAAGCGCAATGTCATGAGTTTGATTCCTGGTACCAGAAAAAAAATAACCAAAGATAAAAATAAAAGAAAATCCAAAAAAGAAAATGCTTTTTTTCTGTATATATCCATGTCATCATGTCACATATCATAATAAACAAAAAGGTAAGTTTAAAGTAACCCTTAAGTGCATTAAAATTTAAAGCTGTTGACATATTTATGTTTTTCTGTTGGAATAATTTTCTCATACTTCCTAACAAACCTTGTTTTTCTGCTTTCATTACTCTCCTTGAAGTTTTTAGCATTATGCTTAAATCGCAGACAAAATTTCCCAAAAAACGTGAAAAAACATCAAGAAGGTATAAATGCCTGTGAATGATTTTCATCACGTTGCTAAGTAAAAATTTATATTCATGAACATCTTCCTGTTCTGATTCTCCCTGATCCCTTCTCCTTTATTCAAATACATAAAATCCTATGCAGTAAATGGGTAATACTCACGAAGGGTTGTTCATGACTTCCTTCAGTGCATTGACCAAATCTGCAGTTGACATTGTCATGAAATCCAACACAACAGCTGCTCCTTTGGCTTCCATGTGAGCTATGTTATCATGTTGTTCCCCAAACAAAGGAATGCCCACCATAGGGACCCCGTGGTTGATGGCATCGTAGATGCCATTGGCTCCTCCATGAGTTACAAAAGCTTTGGTTTTGGGATGACCTGGAATTAGGAGAATTTCAGTCCTGTTATTAAGTATAAATCTTAGACAAAATATGAGGAGTTTCAGAAGGTGATAAGAGAAGAATCTTTTTTATGAAATAGCTATTGATTATTTTTTAGTGATATTTGCTTTCTACCTCAGAGCAAAAAGTATCAAAATCTACTTGCTGGTAGGTGGACATTTAATGACAGAGATATTGAGTGACTTGAGAGTTAAACAACAGGTACATGGTAGTAGGATAAATGCAAATACTAATGAAGAAAATAAAGCAAATGACAAAGAAGACCTTGTGCATGCCAGAACCTTTCTTCCTTTAAAAAAAATATAGTTTTTTCAGTAAGTCTGATGTGAAGATTGTTCAAAGCTACAATGTGAGGAAATGTGTTATTACTTTATAATAAACTGTGTATGTGTTTTTCTTACTAATGCAGTCATTCTGAATTCACCAACATTGACCTTGGAGTACTCCTGTTTTAGAGGAAAATGCAAATTTATTTCTTGAACTGCAGGTTAAGGATACAACCTACATAATTAAAAATTCTTAATGTGAGGTAACTGCCACCAAGTAAAAGTAATTTTTGACCACCAACAGGAGACTGTGTAATCAAATGCAAACTAGTATATTTTACTTCTCATCAGACTGGGAAAAGAGTACAAAAGCCTTCGATTTAATTTTGAACTTTGCAATAATAAATGGTCAGAATGTTCTTTCCTTTGTATTCAAGTATCATGAAGCAGATTCAGCGTCACGTCTATAGCGTTTGTGCTTTAGAACCTTACCAAGGAGGTCATTCTGGGGGATCCACTCATACAGTTGAGTATTGGGTTGTAAGGTGTCAGGTTTCTTGCCACTGTATCTCCAAATAACCTAATAGATCAAAAAAATATTTGACTGTACTTCTCAAAGTTGAACTAGATGAATATCTAAAATTTAATTAGTTTAGGTTAAATATGGTTTGTACATTTATGTTTGTACTAGATCAGGAAATCAGATGAAGAAAAGTAAAGTCATTCTTTTTTTTGTCTATGTTGTTGGCATTTTGCTATTGTTTTCTCTTAAAATTTTTTAAATTAAAAAAAGAACACATAAAACCCCAAAATTTAAATAATGTAGAAAAGTCAAGAACAAATACAATATAGACCTATCTTCTCTGTGATTTCATACTACTTTGGGCAAGTGCAGTCATGAGTTTCAGATAATGACTAATACAAATGAGATAATGAATGAAAAATACTATGTTTAAGAAATTGCTATGTAGTCATCCTTCTATCATAGACCAATGAGTTTACAGATTAAAGTCCTTGTACACAATGTACACTTTAAAAACAATATCACCTTTTGTTTTTTAATGATATTAGAGATTACTTATTTATTGCGTATATTATTTTACTAGAGTTGACCATTGTTTATTTACCAAACTTAATTGTAATCAGCAAATGGTGAGAAATCAAAAATGGTTCAAAAATAACTTACATAAAAATTGCTTTAAGTCACAAAAAAGTAGTGTTTCTTCCAGGAAAATTTCAGTTGCTCTTTCTTCATGAACTCAGAGTATCATCAATAGTGTTAGGACAAGAAGTTCTTTATGGCTGTTGAAAACTTGCAAAATTGGAAGGCCCTATGTTTTATTCAAATATTTATTTTGCCAAAATGGACCATGATGTATATTCACAGAACAGAAAACATGATTTATCCCAGACAAAGCATTTCCATGCCTAATCTTAGGATAATGTAATTTTGAGAAATACCCAAGTCACCAACATGTAAAGAAACATCATTTATTAATGCATTATTTCTATTTACTCTGAGTTAGGGATAACTTCTGATTCTCATCTTATAATGTACAATACTGATAACAAAAATCATACAGCTATAGAAACTGTACAAGTAGGTCATAAATATTTATTTATTTATTTATTTATTTATTTTCCAGTGCCTGGGATTGAACTCACGACCTTGCACTTGCCAGGCAGGTGCTGTGCCACTGAACTAAATCCCCACCCCCAAGTTCATAAATATTGAACAATCAAATTTATATTATATGTTAGAGAAAACTAGTGCCTAACATACTCAGGAGAGAGGTACAGATCCTCTTCCTGTTCCAGGCTCGATTAAGCTTGAATATTTCTTACTACACTTCTCCTTACTCAGTTACCTGGAAGTTTGAATCTGGTTCATAGCAAGCAGTGTCCTTGTGAGATGTATCTTACTTATCTTCCTCTTCCAGATGTTAGCAGGCTCCAGGTCATGAGGGAAGACTTCCATTTCTCTCTCTCTTTCTCTCTCTCTCTCTCTCTCTTTCTCTCTCTCTCTCAAATTCTGTGGATCTGCATTGCCCTTCTACTTAGAAATGATAAACTCTGGCCAACATTCTCTAAATTCTGCCCTGAATAACACAATTAATAGTCTGATTCCAAAGTATGATAAATTATGAGGCCATGTTTTAGCATTCATCTTAAGTTGCATAATGATATTTGGCCTCTTTCAAATATCTGCATATTAGTTTGTGCTAGTGAAGTTAGTAACTCGGCTTTCACACCTGTCTGAAACATCTTGAGTATGTACGATGTCTGAGCAACCATGCATGGAAGGAAAACAAGGAATCACACAGTGCTCGGTCATTTCCGAATTACTACCAACAATATCATGGTGACAAAAGTTCACAGTTTAATCCGTTAAATATTTCTTTTTGGTGTCAGTGTTAACATCAACATTATTATGAACCAGATCCTCCCACTTTTATTAATATACACCATCGATAGCTTGGTTTAAACTGACTAAGTTAAATGAGATCTATAACTTTAGTTTTCACATAGAGGTTTTGCAATTGGATCCTTGATAGAATTTAAGAGATTGGTGTGTGTCTGTGCAGTGTTAAGGCACTTTAGCTAACCTTTTGGGGCAGCTGAGCAAGAGCTAATGCAATCACATTGGCCCTTTCTTCTGTTAGGTTGTGGACCATCGACCCTAGAGAAAACACCACAATACCGTGTTCTCCAGAGCTCTGCACAAACTCTTCCATTTCCTGTGAAGAAAAATGTACCCCATCACAAAAGAAGAATGAGAGCGCATACACTTTTGAAAGGATTAGACAGAAAGTGAGAGAAGCCCAGTCTTGTTAGGTATCACTGGAAGAATAGCAGGCTTAAGTACAATGTAGCACTCGCCACCATAACTTTTTCTAACTTTCTCAGTGGTAATGGGAAGAACATTCACATTGTTGTGCAAAGTTCGTCTGAAATGAATCTGTTTTGTAAACAAAAATTGTAAAGCCAGTGTACTTTCTATGTTTTTGAATACTTGTGTCGAACTTATGTTCCTTTTCCGTCCTACAAGAAACATTTGCTATTTCTATGTGTATTCTTTCTTCCTTTGATTCCAACTCACCTTCTAGTGTATGACTGTTCTGGAGTTAGCAACGAATCTTTAGTAAAAGAACGCAATGATGTGGTATACTCACACATGCAATTTAATCATTCACTAGCAAGAATAGTTTTTTTGCCTGTGTTTGCTTGTATTAAATGTGTTATATTATTAAATTTAATGTGTTAAATTGTTATATTGTATTGTTATAGTACTTTTTGATTATGCTTGCGTAGATTGTTCCAGTATATATCACATAGCCAGACGTAGATACATTTTTTACAATTTCATTCAAATGATCAAAAATTTTAATTTTTATTCAACAAGGAATTTATGTAATAATTTGGTAATGACAAAACACATATTTTAGCAAATGAAAGATTATTTTAAAAAAAGATTTCATGTTGATTTGGGTGCAAATTTGGGTATTGTTAGTGAGTAATGCCATATGTTATTATTTCCTCTCTTTATCTTTTACTTTCCCAGTCTTATTAACTCTGTCATTTTTCTTTTTTATGAGGAATGGGAATCTTTCACATATAAGGATAAACTATATTAAAATTTCAGACAGACTGCCTCAGTATATTGTCAGGAGAACAGAACCATAGAATCTAAATAATTTTAATTCAAAAATGTGTGTCTTTGACAGTTTAATTAGTTAAAGTTTTCTTAAGCTAACAAAAAAGATGGTAAAATGAGAATTTCTGAAGGCAACTGGCAATAGAACAGTATGAATTTTTTTCTTTCTAAACATATTTTAAACATTTGGTGTGACCTTGAAATTCATTTTGTTCTTGTTACTTCATAAATTATTACCATCCTATGGGTAGGTTGATTTGTATTGTAATTGAAATGTAAGATCTGTTTTCACACATGAGTAGTCAGTATGAGCTGGAGTCCACTTGAACTGTAGTAGACATTAGCTCTGGGATCCTTCTAGGGAACTTTACTGTGGTGGCCTCTCGGCTCGAGAGAATCACTAACACTGGACCTGTAGAGTCATCCATCCCATTTGTAGTGTGAAATGTGAAACACTTAGAGTGAGCCGTAATTTAAATGGTGAGAAGAAAGCAAGGAAACAGTAGGTTTGGCTGCACATCATTTCAGGGATACAAACTGATATTGTAGAGAAACAATCTTTGTCTTTAAGTGGAAAATAGAAGCGTTTTGCAGTGAAATTTTAACATTTAATATATTTCTTTTTAATGGTTAAATTCATAAATTTTCATTGTTTGAAATATCGTTAAAATTATTATTGCAAGTTTTTTAAATACACTCTATTTAACACATTATTCATGTGCTTCCTGTGAGCATAGTTGCACATGTTCATTTACTTTAAGTAAATCTATAGGATACCTCTTCTCTCTCATTTTGTTAGACAGTTCAACACTGATTTCAGTTCCCATTGGATGAGATCACATGTAAAGATTGCATGCTACATATTAAGCAAGCAATAGAATCAGTGATAACGTAAAACACAAATACCTCAATAGTGAACAGTAATCCAAGATCACTAAGCCACAGAGATGTTTGAAAGTTGCATTCATTTTCAATTTCTTTCCTTAATCTCTTTTATTTACTTGTTTATTTATTTATTTTTTGATTATTGGCCTTTTTATATAAGTAGGCATAGTCATTAGTTTGAAAATTCTAGTTTAAGTAGCATTATCTGTTGCCTGAGTTCTTAGAATTTCCTCAATTCCCCCTCCCATAGTCTTGCTACATTACAAACAAATCCAATAACCGAATAAAGAAAAAAATTCTTGCTTTTTATTAAGTAATTCCTATTATAACTCTCTTGAACCTAAGGGTTCTGTGAGTACCCAATTGCTCTTTTAGAAGTACTTAATCCATCTGAATTATCTGCTTACAAATTACCCCATATAAAATAGGTCTGCTTAGTCAGCTTTGGGATTTTAATGAAATCTGTAAACTTGTGATTCTACAGAAACATGAGTTTCTCCTCGAAGGGTACTTTATCCCATCCCTAACTTAGCTCTCAGTTTGAACAACAACTGTGAATAAATCGTGAATAATTAATTATTCTTGGAGAAAATGAAAAATCAGACACAAACAAAACAAGAGAAAAACATTGATATTTTACCTTAGGCAAGGGCTTGGCAGGTTTGCAGTGGAGCCCACCAACAAACTCAGTATTTGGCAAGGTAGGGCGAGGAAATTCCAAATCCCAGTAGGATCGAATGAGCCACATTTCTGCTTTTGCCATACTCTGTGATAATGTAGTGGGTCTCCCTAAACGAAGAAGGAAAACAAGGAAAGAATGAAAGAGTAAAAGAGAGACAGACAATAAGACAGAGAGAGGGACAGAGAAGCAAAAGAAACAAAGAAAAGAACAGAAAGAAGGAAAAGAGAAAAGAGGGAGAGTAGAAATGGCATAATGATCAAGTTATTTCTCATAACGAATGATATATATGTTTACAAAGGCATTTGACTAATTCATTCAATGGTACAACTAAAGATGTATAAGATTTTGGACACTGAATTAAACAACGTTAATTTTTGGATATTATAACTCATACATGTGATATTTACATATGTAAGCAGAACATTTCAGTGTTTGTGTCTGTGTATGTACCCGTGAAGGATTTAGAAAGGGACAATGATTTCTGATTTCACCTCAGTGTGTCATAATAATGGACACTAAAATGAAACCCTATTGATTTAATCATGAATTAATCTGCTTTATAAAACTGTGAGATGGGCAGATCTGAGAATAAGTAATGGTTTCAGTTGCATTTTTACATAAGGCTAGTGTAATAATGGAGATAGCTTTCTCAGGAGTCTAAAGGTACTTTCTACAATTTAGCAATCTTTAGCTGATCCCTGATTTTCCAAATGAACTGAAAATTTCTGAAATGGTGGCTGATTTATTGTACCTACAATTAATTTTCTTCACTTTAACAGTTTTGTGACATTTATATAAAAATTTTTACAAGCTAGCTTGGAGACATCCAGAAATTGTCAAAATAGAGATGTATATTTGCTCACAGTTTTCTTTTTTTTTTAAACGAAGAAAAGTGATTTTTAAAAATGATTAATTATATGAATGTCCCAATTACTTAGAGAACATTTCTAGGTCTTTTCAGTGATAACTGACAACTACCAAATGAAGGGAGGGGAAATCTTTAGCCCAAGGATATTGGTTGTCTGGATTGTGAAGAAAATCTTCAGGTTATGTGGAAAATACTTTAATTTTAAATAACAAAACTTATATGCTAAAGGAAGAAATTTGCTCAATGATACACAGGAAAAATAAGACCCTTCTTTTCTGCATGCATTCATTCTTTTTTTTTCTTTTTTTTTGGTTTTTTGGTTTTTCTCCGGTACCGGGAACCGAACTCAAGACCTTGCGCTTGCCAGGCAGGCGCTTTGCCGCTGAGCTAAATCCCCAGCCCCTGCATGCATTCATTCTAAGATAAAGGAAAGTTTCTATTCAATAGATACTTTTGATCACATAGAAAAGGGTACAGAAAAATAGGTATCTAATTCCAGGTAAAAGGCCCAAGTGTCTCACCCTCTAGTTGTTTGACCTGGAATGCTATAAATTCTAACTGAAAACATTTATGTAACTTTTTAAAAAGTAGAGTGACAATGAAATTTTTATATCAAATTTCATTATTTCATCTATAAAGCATAAATCTGTTATTGCCCATGCATACAAGTTTGATTCAAAATACACAGCAATAGGGACTTGAAGAAATCAATACACAAAATGACTTACCTAAAATTTCAGTGTAAAACTGACTCCACTTCTTCTCATTAAATGTTTGAAACCAGAAGTCAAAATACAGCAAGTGCATCAAATTTTTCACCCTCTCCATGAAAGTCATTTGACTGCTTAGTCTCGACAGAATAACAGGTACATAAGAAGGAGGAAACAGAAGGCCTGCATTGTACTTTTCATATGTGTAGCCAGGAGAGAAGCGGAGGGTGTACACCAAAGGAATTTTCAGTAGTTCAGCCATCAGGTCCCCACCAGGAAAGATGGCATCTGCAAGAAGGACGTCAAACTTTGAGTCTTGTAATTTGGTCATAAGTTTCTTGTTCCGAACTGCACCTTCAGTAATGTTATAATAAACATCAGAAAATTCCCAGAGCAAGCCTTGCAGCCGTGGAAAATGTTTCCAGTAGGTGTCCTTTGGCACAGTATATATCCAGGTATCAAGCGTTCGCTCAAAAAAATTCTTCATGTCTTCTGTATTGGAAGATGTAAGAAAAGTTTCAAATTTTATATCAGAGGGACTATTGAGATAAAGAAAAACAGAAGATGAAGGTCTGAGGACTGTCACCTCATGTCCCCGCTGTACAAGTTCAGTGAGGATCACCTGTATATTCAACCAGTGGCTATAATCCATGGGCCACACCAGCACTTTCCCACATCTTCCAGCACTAAAGTAACAACACAAATGGAGCAGCAACAGAATTGTCTTCATTATCCTAGACATCTTGGTAAAGTTGAGTCCTTCCCGTTACAGTATCCTGCTGGCTGTAATTATTACTGATGCTTACTAATATCTATTTAATGTGCACCAAGAAGTTAAAGTATAACTTTCATTGATCAATGTCCTAGTGAATTTTCTCATTGGTGAGGCAACACATAGAACCCAAAGTTAAAGGGGCAAATGTTTAGCTCACAGTTTGTAGAAGTTTCAGCCCATAATCAACTGACTGAGGAATGTTGGCTTCAAAGAGGGGCATTGAAGAGAAAATATTAAAGCAGTGTGTGACAGGTGGAAGATAGCAAAAGCAGGGTAGCATTGGACCTTCACAGCTTCTTTCTCTCCCGTTCATGTAATCCAGGCTACTCAGGGCAGGTAGCACTCACACCCATAATCCTTGTGTCCTGGAGCCTGACATTTCACCAAGAATCAATCCCAGTATCACATACTCTCAATCCCACCCCCTTTGAAAAAACCCAACCTGTGACCACATGAAGCTTTGTGAGGAAATCAAGACATAATCCATACCAGTCATTAGATTCACTAAATGATTAATCAGAGCAAAAGACTGAATGAGCAAGCAAAAGAATCAAAGGTAAGGGCATTGTTTTTAAATATCTCTTTTCTGACTAAAGGGCTTAACTTGGTCAGGTATAGGATACTTGTTTGTGTGAGTTACCTGTATCGTACAATGAATTAATATCCATTCCAGAAATAGTAGAAAATGAGCAGTGACTTTTGTCTACAGACATTTTTAAACACTTGACACAAGCTTAGAGATAAAAAGGCAACTATAAGGAATTTCTTGGGTATTGTGATTCAGTGCATAGTTTCAATAAATTTGCTGTGTAAAAATACTTATGAAATGCAACTAATGTACATGAAATTATCTAATTTAAAGTGTATAATATACTGTCTCACAATATAGATATTGAAAACTGTAATGATAATGACAATCCATTTTTCAAGTGCTTGATTTCTCCATTAAGAACATTTAGATCATGATGACCAGGGGAAAATGGCTGGCAGGAATTGTGTGCTCTACTGTACTACACTACAAATGAACAAAACCAGAACAGCAGTGGCATCCCTGGAGACTATGAAGCAGAATGACAGAGTGCTGTGGGCATGTGACATTCAGGAACACTGAGATGATACCGGCCATATGAAAAAGGAAACTATGCCAGGAATATAGCTCAGTGGCAGAACAGCTGCCTGGCAAGTACAAGGTCCTAAGTTCGATTCCTAGTACAAAAAGAAATAAGTTAAATAAAACAAAAAATGAAAGAGGAAACTAGGCAAACAACATCTGTCCTCTCCCATCTCTAAAAACAAAACTCTTGGCAAGAGAAGAGAAAGCAGAGATCTCAGACACTTCTCACTCTCACTGTGCACAACAGATTCTACACTGTTGAAGAAACATGTGTGTCACCAGCACTCAATTTGAGGAGCAGGGAGTTTAGCACGCTGCTTCATTGCCCTGAAGAATGAGTTGAGTCCTAATCTTGCCATCCTTGGCCAAGGCCGTAGTGATCATCACCACCTTAAGGCTCTGGACAACTGGGGTTCTGGGCACATGGCCAATCCAGTCTTAGGACATGATGGTGTTGACCTGCCAGATGGGCTTGGGCAGCATCTCAGCAGCTCTCCCAAGTGACCCAGCTGGGAGAGGCACTCAGGAAACATTTAAATGTCTCATTCTATCAAACAGCTGCCCAGGAATCAACAAACATTTCCACCAGTATCGTGAAAGTTCAGGACCAGGACCGAAGTAGAGAACACTATCCAAAGACTTACAGTACGGGAAAACAGAGAGGCAGCCCATACTGAGTGCCTCTGCTCACCGAATGCCTGTGAAGCAAAGAAAGGGTCGTGCCTACATATTCTGGCTCCAGGAAGAAGCCAATAGGCCTAGCAAGCTAAAATTCTCAAGCATCATCCAAGGGGCTTCCCCAGCCTTCTATGATCACAAGAAGACATTGAGCAGCTCATTCTCAGGTGCTCTGCCTGCAAAGACTCTGAGAAATAGAAAAGGAGGAGGTGGTTTTCTTATGTTATCAACTGTAGGAAGGAGCTTGCAATCCTGCATTAAACAGCATGGATTCCCTGAGGGAATTTTGTCAAGTTTTTGAACAATGACTCCTTCTCTTCTTGGGCCCAACTGAGCACTATGCTGCTTGCATCCCCAATACATTGACAAAACGAGCACACACATTCAGGAACACACACACACACACACACACACACACACACACACACACACACAAACACACAATCTGATAGTACCGCAGCAATTCCACATAGACCTACTGAGGAAGACACCTAACCAACCCCAAGGCATATACAGTTTACCCATTTAAGCTCACAGAGCCAACAGCTTTAAACTACTGAAGTACAACCTAATCTCCCAACCTGATCTGCCAGAAGAGATCTATGTGTCACAGCTGTGCATTCACACAGTTCCAAAACCTAGACCACTGTGAGAGACAACCACACACATCACACACACTGAATTCACCTGAAGAAGCTAAAGTGACACAACCCTAAAGCACAGACCTGGCATCAACCCAATGAAGCCTATGCACACAGAGTTTATGATGAAACCGTCCTAAGCCATTTGTTGATTCAATGCACCTGACATCCCCTGATAGAATTGTAGGGGCACTAAAAGTGCTAAATAAATGAATAAATGAATGAATGAATGAATGAATGAATAAATAATAGCAAATTGCATTGACAAGCAAAATGGAGCAGGAAAGTGTTCTTAGGCACAGATTTTAAAGAAACATGAATGATATAAAAGTGAAATAGAATTGAAAATAATGTTTATAAAGAGACATAATAATACAAAAAAGAAATATCCAAGGAGAAGAGTTTAATAAATAAAAGAATAAAAATATGAACAACAGAATAAATTTGGTAAATAACTATGAAACTTAATGATATGTTGCTTAATGAGATTGAATTGGATCAGAAAAAGGTAAATAATTAATACAAATGAAAAAACAGAATTCTGAGACATTAAGTAAGAAATAATCAGTTACACTATAAGTGTTGATGAAAGGAAAGCAAGAAGAAAGAATAAAACATTTTTACAAAATAATTGTTGAGAGAATTAGAAATCTTGAAGGTTGATTTTTATGTACTTGATATCAATCTTGATAGTTGATAGCTGATAACACAGGAAGGACACCAGTAAAGTCCATGAATCTCAGTGGACCCTTAGGAGACTTTATAAAGCATGTTCTTCAAGAGATACTATAATAAATCTATCAGAAAGGGAAGACAAATAGAAATTATAAAACCATGGAATCAAGTCACATTTTTCCAAATCTCTAAAGGATGAACAACAAACTTCCCAGTAGAAAACTTCACAGAGGGAAATTTTAGGGTGTTCTTTTTATGTACCTGCAAAAATAAAACGTAAGCCAGGAATGCTATCATTAGGAAAATAATCTCTCAAAAATTACAAGTAAATAGTATCTTTCTAGAAGAAGAAAAATTGAGAGAATCTTTGATCACCAGGCTGGCCCTAAAAGAAATGCTGAAAAGAGTCCTGCATTACAAAGAGAAATATTGTAGTCATCATGAACATATAAGGATGCAAGTAAATAGCAAAACACTTATAGAAAAAATAATATATCATACTGG